ACGGAGTATATTTAATATACTCACCCCCCCTACAATGATTGTTTCAGGTGAAGGACTCGTGGGCGACCATGGTGATGGGACAGAGGAGACATGACGAGCGAGGACCATAGGCTGTTTAGTCACTCTTGCTTAGTTTAAGTTTTTAGTTAAGACCTTATGTTATGGTCAATAAACCATTTGTTTGTATTTGATTTATTGGGAGGTTCCCACTGGTTGTTATTTCATTTCGGGATAGGTGCCTATTTTAGTTTTCTTCCATTCGTTGAGTTTTGCCTAGTTGAATAATAAAATTGCCACGTGAGGTGGCCCACGATTGTTGTTGATCGATACTCTATCTAATTGATGTATTGTTGAATTGATGAAAAATGGAACTTGATTTTATATCTTTGTTGCATAGGGAGTTGACATGACGTATTTGGGGTTAAGTTTAATTAGTTGAGTAGTTGACGTGACTAGAAGTGCGTGGGAAATTCTGGGGCGTTACAGAATGACATGGAGTATTGAGAGAGCTTGAGAGAGATGGGATTTCCACGCACTCTCTTCTGTTGTTCTGTTTTCGCAGAACGTTTCTGCAAAATTTCCCAGTAAAAACAGTAACGTGGGGAGCGTAACTTAACTCCCCACTCCCGTGCAATGATGCAGAGGAGTTAATAATTAATTATATTAAGTAATTAATATTAATATAATTAATATATTAAATAATTATTAATCAAATTAATAATTAATTAATTAAATGTAATATTAAATAATTATTAATCAAATTAATAAATAATTAATATTAATAACTAATTAATTAAATGTAATATTAAATAATTAACAATTAATTATTTAATATTTAATTAAATATATCATATTTAATTAAACCATATTCTCTCTTGTATAACCTATAGATTTAATGTACATCTTATGTGCATTAGTTTTTAACCTATAGTTTTAATATGAATCATATTCATATTAATTTTATTTGAATGAGATTTGAATCTCATTCAAAGAATTTCTCTCATAATATATAGTTTTAATTTACAATTAACTATATATTATAATGTATCAATATACATATAATCCCTTAAGAAATTTGAACAGTTCAAATTCTTCCAAAAACTTGATCCTCGTTTTACCCGTTATGAGCTCGCAAGGGGACCTAATGGACCTACAGATCCGAAGCTCCAACGATACGAGATTAATCGGTCAAACTCATTGACCGAGTTAATCAACATTCGTTAACTACGAGTCACTCCACTAAAGACCCGCAGTTGCACTCTTCTCACTGCAGAATGTTTTCGTGTCCATGTATATACGACCATAAATGACGAGTCAATCCTTCACGAGTGCTCGTAACTCAAGTTGGGTCAAATTACCGTTTTACCCCTAAGTTACATCTTACTCCTTAAATACCACTGCTCCTCTATTGAACAACCCGGTTATGGTCCGACCAATAACCGAAAGTCCCTCTTGAGCCAATGAGAGGGTGGGGCCCCTTGTTCAAGTCCCAGAGTCAGCATTTAAAAGAACACTCATCTACTCCCCTAAAGTCGGAAAGGAGTGAATTCCATCTTGTGAAGTTATGTTCACAGCTCCCCACTCGGTCTCGTCCCCAAAATGGTAGGAACATTGAGTCGGTAACTCGGGCCATTCTCACCCATATAGATCAAAGGACGAGCCCTCACGGGCAGGAGTCCATAACTCACTCAGGATTGAGAATGAGTTCTCTGGTCATCCTAAGAAACAGCAATTTATTAGTTAACGATGTTACATCTAAAGATTGGCTGTTTCGTGGTCCGGTCTTATACAAACTCATTGTATAGGATACCCCCACTCGCATGTCTCCACATGAACGACATGGATCGAGTCGTCTGTAACCTTTACAGAGTGGGCCGTATCCATAGTGTTGTCAGGATAAGGTATCCAGCCTTATCCATATACTATAGACCCTTTAGGTTATTCACGGGATATTATTCACTTGTATATCTGGGTATATCAAATATATACCTCGTATATCAAGGGTATATCAAATATATACCCAGTACATATACTGTCCCGGTTACACTAAAATAACCTTCGATGTTTAGTTCATTGGATTTTGCACAATGCAATGCTATGAATTCAACAACAAATTTATTGAATAAAACTTTATTGAATATACATTTATTTTTACAAAATACAAACTACGAGTTTAGGGCAACACACCCAACACTAATATGATTAGGGGTAGTCTTTTATTTTGTTTTAACTAGGTTTAAAATGAAATGATAAAAGACTAAATATAAAATATTGCCTATAAGGGAACCCTGTCTAAGGAAGGTTCTGTCTAGGTTGAGGTATTTAAGCTGACCGTAAGGGAACACCTCTACCTGGGAACCGACCTGGGGGTTGAATTAGTCAATATTTTACATGCATGCAATAATGTCATTAGTTTATTAAATCGTTTAATAAACTAAAACATTAATGTACAACTACCAATATAATAGTCATATTGGGTCGACTAAAAATTCACTTAGTTAATTTCATTTAGCTGGAATTTATCTAAGTAATATACCCTAGTCTTAGAATACTAAGTGTGAGCAAAAGAGAATATGTAATATACTGCGTATATATTTGATATACAAAGTATATATAACATACTTTTCTCAATCTCTCACGTTCTCCTTTATATTCACACTAGAGTTCCATGCTCGACCTCGTGTCGCCCTGGGCATGGCCGTCCTACAGAAGATATTTGCATGGTTCAATATCGAGGTGAATGAAGATAATATTCATAGTAAGTGGGAGAAGGACATGTGACAACACATCAGGCGGTCTCCGCCATTGGTTTGCACCGTGAGGTTTCATACATGACCTGCGTGTCGTCTTGGAGCGACCATCCCTACGGAGGGTTCATTGTATGGAATCAAAACCAAGGCAAACTTCAGAAATGGATAAGGGTCTCTTAGGTTTTGCTCCAATATTTTCCTTCCCTACGGCCGGATTATTGGGGCAAACCTCCGAGGTCTGAAAATGGTGGGTTACACTTAGGGGGAGTTGTTAAATTAGTTAACAATTTCCAGACCAAATAAACGATGACTAAAGTTTATAGGAATAAGAGTTATTCTGGTGTAAAATTTATTTGAGAACGTCTCAATTCAGTGAAGGAGTACCTGTCTGCCCTAGAGTGGCTGTTACTCTAAATCACTGAAGCGTCGTTGCAAAACAATTTTGTTAGGGTGCTTAATTACTTTTGCTAAAATTTGATTGGGTTTAAAGGCTAATGCATGAAACTAATATAGGTTTGTTTTTACTTTCAGCATGTCTACTTCTATTATTGCACTCATAGCCGCGCAAAAACTAAACAGCGAGAATTACAAACAATGGAAATCGAATCTAAACACTATTCTCGTGATAGATGATCTTAGGTTCGTCTTTCAAGAGGATTGTCCTCAAGCTCCTGCGCCTAACGCCACTGTGGCGGTGCGCAACGTCTATGACAAATGGATCAAGGCCAATGACAAGGCCAAGGTCTTCATCTTGGCTAGCATATCTGATGTGCTTGCTAAGAAGCACGAGGACACGGTCACCACTAAGGAGATCATGGACTCGCTGCAGAGCATGTTTGGACAACCGACCTCACAGGCTCGACACGGAGCCCTTAAGTTCATTTACAACTCCCGCATGAAGGAGGGCTCCTCTGTGCGAGAACACGTTCACAACCTGATGGTCCACTTCAATGTGGTAGAGTCGAACGGGGCTGTCATAGATGAGCAGAGTCAGGTCAGCTTCATTATGTAATCTCTTCCGAAGAGTTTCCTGCCATTCCTTAGCAATGCGGTTATGAATAAGCTGGAGTACACTCTTACCACGCTCTTACACGAGATGCATACCTAATAGTCTTTTATGAAAAGTAAGGAACAATAAGGGGAGGCAAGTGTTGCCACCTCAAGGAGGTTCAACCGAGGTTCATGCTCTGGAACCAAGTCGCGCCCTCTTTTTCTGGAAGTAAGACTTTCAAGAAGAAGAAAGCTGCTGGTAAGGGGTCTAAATCTGACTCCACTGCTGCCGCTGCCAAGAAAGGCAAGGCCAATGTTGTAGAGAAAGGAAAGTGTTTCTACTGCAATATAGAAGGGCATTGGAAGCGCAATTGCCCAAAATACTTGGCCGAAAAGAAGAAAGCCAATGAAGGTAAATATGATTTACTTGTTTTGGAGACATGTTTAGTGAAGAACGCTGACTCCGCCTAGATACTGGATTCAGAAGCCACTAATCAAGTTTGTTCTTCATTTTAGGGAATTAGTTCTTGGAGGCAGCTTGACGTCGGAGAGATGACTCTCAAGGTCGGAACGGGATAGGTCGTCTCAGCTGTGGCGGTAGGGGAGCTCAAGTTGTTTACGAACAAGAATATGTATATATTATTAGATAATGTGTACGTTGTAACGCCCATGAATTTCACCATTTCCAGACAGGGACCGTTACTAAGCCTACCTAAAATTTTCACATAAACAAGAGAATTTTCTTCACAACAACACTAAGCAATAAAACTACCACGCTTCTGCTGCGCTACTCTGATTTCCAACACTCACGAGAGCTTGAACAATTAGAACAACAACACTAATGTTTTAAGAGAAACTCACATCCTATACAGATAAACCATTTAATACCGACTTCACATTAACTAAACCCTTCAAGGAAACCTTACTAACTATAAACCATCCACTAAATGAATATTAACATCTCGAAAGGCAATGAAGCAAAAGCTAATTCAAGTACGATCAACTTAAACAAATGTATTCATAAATATCCTAAGTGGATTACAATCCCGTAGTTCAAGAGGCTAACAAAATTAATGCTCTAAAAGAACAATGAATCGGCAACCTTACGACATCCTTTAGACAATAAAACTAAACAAAACCAACCACTACCAACTCAACTACAACATTAAATGGCCACAACTATCCTAACTAAAAGAAATTAATTGCACACAACATAGCTAATGGTCTTTCCGATCAAGCCTCTTTCTCGCCATCACCATCCCAGGAGCTAGCTCGATACCTGCGAACTGGAGGGAAAAAGAGGGATGAGTACAACCACAGTACTCAGTAAGCAGCCCTTATTTGAAGGGTCACGCACAAACAGCATACTTATCAAGGAACAACGTGTCATGCTTATTAAAGAATCAACACACACACATCATGCTCAACGAAATCATGAAACATTCACAGTCATGCCTTTCATCACATTATGCATTCAAACATAGACACATTCTATAAACTTCGGTGACAACCACAACCAGTAACACATTAACTACCAACCTCTAGTCTCCCTAACATCTCAAGTACCTCTACGCTTATCACAACTACTCTAGCCTTCCACAGTTAACTCCTTCGAGCAGAGTCGGCCCCTGACCATTTATACCCAGAGCCCCGACCCTGCAGCATTGGCCCTCGACCATTTATACCCGAGGCCTTGAACTCTGCATCG